GTCGCCATTATTTACAGTGTGTTTGTGTATTTTCTGGGTTCTATTACGTTTTTGTACTTGTATTGTTTCTTGTTTTGGTGAAACTGTTGTAACTAACCTGCCTAGGTAGAAGTTTGATTCATCATTTGTTCGTAATGCCAAATTAAATTTTCCAGTATTTGCTTCTGCAATCTGATATTCATAGTTCCATTTGTTACCTAAATCGATAGTGCCATCTATTTTCAATTTAACACCGTTGATGATAATAGTATAACCTGAAAATTGTCACTTTATGTAATTTGATTCTTAAAGCTTCTACTCCATTATTAATAATAATATTAATGCCCACCAGACCGAATTTAGTCACGGTGGACAGTTTCAACATAGACGTGCTATTTGCCCAGAATAGAATTATAGTGCCCAGGTGCACACTCTATTTCTTCATCTGCGATACGACCGGAGCGAGAACAGTCGCGTGACCAACGGCTTAACATGACGTCTGAGGCACGGATATGGAACACCTCCAAATTTCTGACTCCAGGCTACTACTGAGAATTTCTTGACAGAAAAAATCAATAACTGGTTCACACTAACTGGACCTACTACTAATAATCTGCAGTTGTGTTTGGGATCACTAAAGTGACGGTATAGTCGATTCAATAGTCATTTAGTTAGGGGAATTTTGCACCTTCAATTGATTCACGGGCTCGAGGCTGGAAGGCAGAAAATTATTTGAACTGAACACAAAAGTGCACCACCAGCGTGTAATGCTAGTGATGATCTATAAAATGGAGACATGATAGAGCTTCATTATAGATGACAGAATCTGTATCATGGATATCCTCATTAGAACAAATGTTATTGACATCGTTATGACTATAACGATATATATAACAGTTGCTGTATGACTTGTCACTTTAGCTTGGTGAGTTGTATGCTATGCAAGCTAAAGTAGTGATTGGCAAACTAAATTAACTGAAAAGAACGATAACCGTTAAGGCAGAAAGGCAAGCCCAGTGTACCCTACACACTACTAATTGACGATTTGATGGGACATGCCGGGATTGATTGCTTAGGACAAATTGTTTGTGGGAGCTTTGGAAAACGCTTATGTTCAGCGGAAACTGTAGCAATAGCAGACTCATAAATAATTTGGGATAATAATGCGTCAACAGTCGACATCATACAATACAGAAAATTATAAATAGTAGTGGCGGTGTAAGAATATCCACTACCCGATATTATCCCGTGGGTGTTATAAGAGGTGATAGAGGGAAACAAATTAAGCAGCAGCGTCTTCCTAATAACGCCTAAAAATAAAAAATAAACTGCGGTTGCCAACCCGTTTGTCAAACTTGTCCATTATGGCATATCAAAGGGGGGATCCCCTATAAGGCAATTTATGGGGACGCCTGTATTCACCAATCGACTTTAATAGCTATAATGGTAAAATACAGGGTTAGTTTGCAATTACTGGCGAAATTTGCAGAGAAGGATCAGAATAAGTAAAATAGACAAATGGTGAAGAAAATTAATCAAAAAAATCTCAAACATTCTGTCCTTTTTATCTTTTAAATTCAAAATGCGTTATAATACATTATTTTAACTGATTTTACTGCACACGCACACATTGTTGCCCATAAAACACATTCAATTTGAGATAATTTTAAATAAAAGTAAAAGCCTTCTTTACTCGTATTTTTACAAACTACATTAATGGTAGGAATATCAATTTATATATTTGAACTTAAGTTTAAAATTTGGCTATTCTTTAAAAATAAGCCTGTATAGTACGTTTTATGTAAAACCTCGAAATGTGACTTACAAAATATCAGCAACAACTGAGAAAAAGGCATTTTAAATTGTCAATAAAACTTATCTTGCAATAAACATTATGTTTTACTGCTGATATAAATTTTAAGACCAGAACTTTTTAATGTTGTGAATTGATTTAAAAAAACTTGTCCAATTTCCTTATGATGGTTACTCTCCTCAGAAGCGATTAAATGTCGATAGTACCCTAGGCTAGCACCACATCCGCGCCCCTCTGAAGCCATATATTATGAATTATAACTACGTATTTTATTCAAATTTATAATTTCGTTCAGTGGAAAAAAATATGAAAGTGGTAAATAAAAATATTCCCCAAGAGGATACCAGCAACGATAATCCTCGAGAATCCCGCACTGGGCATCCACATCCAAACGATCTTCCTCCTAGATGTGAATGCTCAGGCTGTCCCGTATATTCTGGGGGAGCGGGGGGGGGCACAACTCGAAGAAAATGAAACAAACAGAAGAAGCAAATGGAGCAAAAAGCTGTGGATTTCTGCAACATAAGGGGACTCCATTCAACCCTTAACGCTGTCCACCACCTAAGCACGGCTAAAGGCGGCTACTAACCTGCCTGCCGCAGGGGCAATCTAGGAAGCACAGCGATCGGAGCAATATCGAAGGCCGCGAGGCCGACTTAAAAATTGCCCCTGCTTGCCTACACACATCACAATTAAGGAGGTAATTAAGGGTCATCCCCACTCCTACACCCTAGATTGCCCCTGCGGCAGGCAGGTCAGTAGCCACCTCAAGCCGGCCTTGCTCTTTCTCACCGCAACGCGGGGCTCTTTGGCTGACACATCTTATTTAACTTACCCAGATTACAAATTGGAACACTCTCAGCCCTCGGGTCGAAGCTTGTGTGTACGTCGGAGAGGATATCCGTTCTCGATACTTCGGTAGGTCTTGAAGGCCATCTGTCTATCCTATGGCTAAACATAGATAGCGACGACCAACCCCGCGCCTATGGATGTCTATATAGGTCCTACAGCGGTAATGCCGAGACAGACCAACAAATTGACCACGTTCAAATAGCTACAGATTCCGTGCTACAACTGATCGCATCCGCAAAGATCGTGCTCCTTGGCGAATTCAACGCCCATCACGTTGAATGGCTCGGTTCTCGTACTACCAATCATATGGGGCGGTCTGTTTATGAATTTGCCTTGGCTTATGGTCTAACAAAATTATTCACTCTGCCCACGTGGATTCCAGATGTGGAGGGCCATGCACCTTACCTTTTGGACCTCTTGCTGGCCTCTCATCCGGACAGATATCGGGTCCATGCCCCTCTTGGCTGACTTATCTCGGATTATTGACGGCGACAGTGCAGTAACAAAGGTGTGAGATCAATCAAAAGATGTGAATCCACTTGCCAAGCGAAATAATTAAAGCAAATCCTTCCTAAAACGGGCTTTTTTTTATAGGATAAGGGTGACAAACGAGCACACAGTCCACCTGATGGTAAGTGGTTGCTGCGGCCCATAGACATCTACATCTATCCTCTATTAAAAATCAAAATGTAGATACGTTGTCACCCGTGTGGACTAAGATGGAATGCCCGATTTTCAGTAAAAAGGGTCTCCGGTTCTCTACACTCACCATACGAAACACAGCAGCGGTAAGCTGCTATTTTACGCTGGTATTCTGTGAGATCGTGGTCCTTCCCCGGTCGAGCCGACCCATTCGTACTACAACTATACTACTAATATAGCTGCAGCATGGCTCTACCACGTACAAATTGTTAAGTAGTGGACTTTTACAGATCAATGCCAGACCAGCAATATAAAATGGTTTTCTACTATTTTCATTAATAACTAATATTCTCCCGTTTTTTTGTACCTACATGTAAAAATCCTCACGGATACTTCTATGTTGCGTCAGACCAGTTATATCAGAATCCTACCGGCTGAAATGCCCAGGCCTTAATTAATGGGGGTAAAGGAGGGCCGGTTATGTTCCCCTCTGGCGCCCGTCTTTCCGGCAGCGTTGGGATATCTGCCTTTCAAGAACTACTCCCCTGTCTTTAACCGTTTAGCCAGGAATTGGTACCACGCTTAATTTTCAACAGGGGAACAATTGTTATTAGTATGAGGATATAGTTTTTGTGTTCATTAACCCCAAGCTATGTATGTATAAGTCTGAAAGTAGATATACCTTTATTGACAAACGTAATACCACATAAAATAAATAATTATTTTTCATTTTTATTTTAATGATAACTAGCTGTTCCTTCACTTCATTGCACGCACGCGTATTTATTTCACACGCTCACACGCACGCACACACACACACACACACGCAGACACACAGGCATGCACACGCACACACACACACACGCATTGGTCTGATTGGTCATTGGTCTATAAAAGTCCACTGCTTAACATGGGTATCTCCCGTTTTAGGCAGGATTTGCTTTAATCATCTCGCTTGGTAAGTGGATTGAAGATCTCGCACTTTTGTAACTGCTGCCCGTGGGCGGTCTGGGTATATTTCGCCTTGCGTAAGCGAGATGACTATACCGCCATCCATCGGAAGCCATAAGATCCTTGATTATTCACCGTATACTGTACCGTGTATGTACTGTATACTGTTACATTTTCCTAATATTTTCCACCCTTGGTCATACGATGGGTGCATGCCAATTTTCGTAGAGTATTTTTGAGATAAAAAAAACTAATTTTTTACAATGGCATGCAGTTTGTAAACACGGAAATGTTCTATTTTTTTTTTCATTTCTACGTAACCCTTTGAGCCCCGTCGGCCGTTGCGAATTGCATGCCATCAATTATTATAGCTTAAATTTGTTCCAACTACTTTATATTACAAAGGCATGCAATATAATGTCACGGAAAAATACTAAAATTCCTTACACAAAGAGAAGCCATTTTCTTTATGACGTGCAAGCGCGCAAGGGCTCGTAACCCCTCTCTTCTTTCATATTTTAGGGTTAGTTATCAATTCTTAAAAAGGCATGCAGGAGAAAATGGGAGACTATTTTCTCTCATCATCTCCCGATCTGAAAGGAACATATAATATATTGTGAATCGTTTTGTAAACAAAATACAAATCAGATTAGACTCTATGGTCTAAGACCTTTGCCTCTCTGAACTGGGGAATTATAATAAGTACAATATTTATGGTTCCTGACTGCGATTCATAGATTACTGTATATATACTAGAGACTGCAGTTCATAGAGTAATAATTAAAGAAAACTGCGGTTATTCACGCGAAGTGTTTGCTTTTTGATTTTTGTTTTAACATAAGTCTAAAGTGAAAAAAAATTAAACAGCGACAGTATAATTTTAAAGTTTTTCAAGTGTTTTAAATTCTTAACAATATAGTGCTCCGGTTTAAAAGTAAGTTTTTTAAAAAGTCACGGTTATTGAAACACTGTTTTGGGCTATTCAGCGCCAATTGAATTTTCCTTGTAAACTTTATTTTTGTGTTGTTTTTATTGCAAATTTCGGTAATTTTCATTCAGTTTGATTGTTGCTTCACTGTTAAATTCGTGAGCTATTGGCATATTTTATACACACGCATTTTATATGTCAACGTTTTTAATGAACATCCTCGTGAATTTTGGCCTGTACGTCATTTCAATTCTCACTCTCTTATCATTTTTTTTGGTTATTTTTTGGATAGCTTTTGTTTTTATTTACTATAGTTTATTATCATTTTCATAATTGGTGTAAAATTTATACGAAAGTTATAATTATCATAAAGTTCTAAATATTGTTTATTGGAATATTGAAATAATTAATATTTTTTTAATGTCCAGATATTTTCTTAATCTGTTGATGTAAAAAGAAAAGTTAAAAATATTTTTGTAGGTAGTTCAAAACTTGTAATGAAGTTGTAAGTACATTCTATATCTAATAAATAATCTGTAAGTCTCTCTGTAACCATAATAAATAAATCTGTAAGTTTCTCAAATACATAAAGCATATATTAAATTAAATATAAATATGTACTTAACACATTTCAAATCTACACTTATATGGAAGCATTACATACTTATAAATTTCTTTTTTTTTATATATACCCAACATTTTTCAATTGCATTACATTGTGCAATAATGCCATGGACAATAGAAAGTTCTAAATATAACATAACTGATGTTAGTATTTTCCCTTTAGTTTAGACCCACACTATGAGTTGCCAAGTATCAAGCAATAACAAATTTTTTGATTGTATAGGTTTATAGTTTAAGGCCATGCTACTTACGTTTGTGGCAGCTTATGGAGGGTTGAAGTGGAATGAGACAAAGACTGTTTACTATATTACTTTTATTTTCTTACTTATAAGTTAACTTAACTACTGTGACAATGTGAGTCCACAGGAATACTAGATCTAACATACAAACTAACTTAACTACTACTGTGGTGTCTTAACAATTAGACCCTAGGATTTATACTATGTTGAATATTCTTGAGTCACATAAAAGATGTGCTGTTATTTGTTTAGTGGGCGGAGCTGTAAAGTAGGTGACTTCCTGATGGCACTTCTTTGTGAGAGGTATATACCTTGTGAAGAACTAAAGATAAGGTTATAAACATGACAATAATGTAAATAATTAAAAATTTTGTACTTTTAAGAATAACTCAAAAACTATTGGTCTGACCTTGATCAAATTCATATGGGACCACACGAGAAGTATCAGCTTTCATATAAAAAAAGAATCATCGAAATCGGTCCACCCAGTAAAAAGTTATAAGGTAACACACATAAAAAAAAACATACACTTTGAATTGAGTACCGTCTTCTTTTTGGAAGTCGGCAGAAAATAATGATTTTGCAAATATTCTTTCAAAACCCTTGTTACTATACAAAATTATTCCTGAACAGAGTAACCTCATTTTGAAGAAGCGATAGAATAAAAAAAAATATTACAACCTCACTTTGCCACAAAGCTGGTTTTAGCTAAAAACAGCATTTTGTATTATTATTCATTTAAGAACTACAAAATAATCATATTTCTTTATTTTTTATGCATGTCTTTTGTTATCTTTTGTTACAAAGATCTCAATTTGAATATAAAAAATAAGTGTTACAATTATGTATTCTTAAATCTTCTTCATTGGCACATGACCTATGGCAGGCACCTTTGACATTGTGATCTTTAGTCGGATTAGGTAATTTTGTTTGAAAGTAGTGTATGAAATCATAAAATACAGCCAATCTAAAGTTACAGCCTATATATGTATATGTGCAAGCTACTGTTGGGCACAGAACACCTTGTATTAACTATCATACCTGAGATATTATGGAGTAATGAGTAAGCCGCGCTGCACTAGTCAGCTAGTTAGGCTTAATGACAGATTTCATATGTTGTAGAAATATTATATTTCTCAGACTTATGTTAGGTTTCTAATGTTTTCCGTTACTGCCAAGCATGTGGTAAATCAACATATAAAATTGCATTGAATCATATAATTTTATGGATTTCATTGTGCTTAATTTAACTTTTTTAATTCCCAACTTTGCGGGTGCTTCAGCACCATATAGATGTCATAGTCAACAAAGTTACCTTCAACTTTAATATTTATTATTAATGGTCTGATCTACGCAGAAAGAGCTTATAGTATGTTGAAGGCTTGGAGTTATATGATTGGACTTGTATTTAATTTATAAATTTTGAGATTCCAAGCAATTTTTCAATTTCAACGGCCTCACAAATCACCCTTGATAGGGTATAAGTGTTCTTTTGCAAAGATCTCTGGACTATTAAATCTGATGCACATATAGTCTGTTTGCTTAGATACGGTTGCCTTTGTGTCGTGCGACACCTTGGCACGTGTCGCATTTTTGTCAAAGGTGCCGCTGCGAAGTCATGGGTCAATGTACATCCGAAGGAGAATTGGGCATTTTAAAAGGAAGTGCAGTAGTGAAAGGTTCTTTGCTATTTAACTTGTTTTTATTATTTATATTCGTATTTTGTTACAATAACCATAATAATAAAATAGGAAAGTAATAAGTGCGCCTCCGAGTGTACCGACACTATCTTAGCAAACTGATTATAATGATCAGGATAATCCTGAACATATCCACATACTGCAGACTCCCTTCTTGAATAGGAAATTAAGAAGTTAAATTAAATGTGACAAATCCATAAAAATAGTTCTATTCAATTTGTAGATTCACATACAAGTGAAACTTGCTGTAGTGAGTGATTAGCCCCTACGCAACCACTTTTTTTACATGCATATATTATCTGTATGTATATTTTGGTAAAATTATAAATATTTATGTATATTTTGTTATTTGTTCAGGTTCATGATGGCAGGCATTTGACAGCTTATAGCATCAGTATAAAGGAGAAGGATATTTTACTTAACAATAGAGCATAGGAAAGCAGCAACATGTTTCAAAAGCAGACATTTGGTAGCAACACCTCTGGGTTTGGTAAGTATAGTTACATTTTGGTATAATTTTATATTTTTCTTAGAGCCATGGTGTATACCAAGGAGGAAATACAAAGAGGTGTTGTAGATTTCACTATGTAACAACGCGTGACATTTTTCGGGGTGAGTGGATGTTAAGCCCCGCCCTCTTAACTATTTTCCATCTACCGATAAATGGTAAAACTACTAGCATCGTTCCATATTGATATTACAATGTAGTTTAGCTATATTGATGATAGATGGCGGCCTGTTCACAAAATGATTATAAAAACTATAAAAATAATATTTTTGCGATTAAAGTTCTTTAGGGCTTAATGCAAAACAAATTTCACTACCTTCCTATGATTATTTTACCAATACTGAGCTCTATGTACCTTTATATTTTATAGTTCCCATGACACAAAGTGTTGCCATGTAGTGTCAAATATATTTAAGTATATTTGAAAGCCGATGGAAAGACATTTTTCTAGAACTATTCTAATAAATTAACGTAACGTAACATCATAGCGTCTATCTGAGTAGTTTTTACACGATAAAACAACACGTCATCCTTTTTTTCTTAATACTACGAAGATACACCTATTTGCGATTTTCGACAAATAAGCGCAAAGGACAAACGCTGACAGTATACTAACTGAAGCTACGCCCACCATGATGACGTCAGGACCTAGTTAGAATCACACTAGGCTTAGGCCACTAGGCCGTCTCTTTGTATTTTCTCCGTAGTGTATACACAGTATCATCACCATCATCAGCTCTTAAAAATCCGCTGCTGGACTTTTTTTTATAGAAGAAGGATGACAAACGGCACACAATCCACCTGATGATAAATGGATGCTGTGATCCCTAGACATCTACATCTATACTCAATTAAGTATCATAATGCAGATGCTTCATCACACCTGAGGATCTACTAGGAGAATACCTCGTTTCCAGTAAGAAGGATCTGCGGTTCTCTACACTCAGCATACAGAACAGCCAATTCAAGCTGGTATTTCGTGAAAGCGTGGTCCTACCCCGGTCAAGCCAACCCATTACATAGAATTAAAATAAAGTTGCAGCATAGCTCTCGCACATATAAAATATATAACTTAACCTCAATACTTGTTAATGAAGCTTGAAGACATATATACCTCTATTGTATCCAGGGGATGATGTCTAGGGGCCACAGCATCCACTTGTCATAAGGTGGACCGTGTGCTCTTTGTCACACTTATTTTATTAAAAAGAAACAATAACAGTACGTTATTTAATGTTCTTTTTAAAACGTAACCACACTAGGATTTTCTCCTGTATCGTGGACACAGTTTACAAACATAAATTGCACAAGGACATAAATCCAGACCAGGAACAATTATTTGCGGGCCATACAAATACTTGTTTCGTGCCGGATTTGAACCCGCGGGCCTTGGCACTGCAACTCAATTGCTAAGCCACTGTGCCACGGAGCCGTCAGTATTCATAGATTAATTAATCTTACGTGGTAGAGCCAAGCTGCATCTATATTAGTAGTATAGTTGTAGCACGAATGGGTCGGCTCGACCGGGGAAGGACCACACTCTCACAGAAAACCAGCGTAAAATAGCAGCTTAACGCTGCTGTGTTTCGTATGGTGAGTGTAAAGAACCGGAGACCCTTTTTAATGGCAAAGAGGCATTCCATCTTAGTCCTCACGGGTCACAACGTACCTGCATCTTGAGTCTTTATTGAGGATAGATGTAGATGTCTATGGTTCACAGCAACCACTTACCATCAGGTGGACTGTGTGCTCGTTTGTCACCCTATCCTATAAAAAAAATGTATCACTGAAATTTTATATGTGTTACAGGCACCTCAACAACGCCGTCTTTCGGCAGTTTCAAGCCAACGACTGGCACCAATGCGTTTGGTGCGCCGCCCGCGTTCGGTGCCTCCGCTGCCCCGCAACCCGCTACTGGAGGAGGTACTATAATAACTTTTCTACAAAAACAGCTTTTCTAGGTATAATAATATCTAAGATTTAATACAGTAAATAAATAGCCTTCTAGGTTTAAAGTGAATACAGTATAACATGATTTAGGTACCTTATTAGGTTTAGCTTAGAGCCGTAGTAGCTCAGGGTTTAAGTGCTTGCTGTAAATTTCACAGTATGCAAGCAACAACCAGGGTTCAATCCCCACCGGCAGCAATAAAATTTTTAATTGCAATTTTAAGTGCTGACTTACCAAATGCTCGGCGGTGAAGGAAAACATCACGAGTATACCTGCATGTCTGATGTAAGGGAAAAAAAAATATTTCGTAGACGTGTGAAGTTCGTCAACATGTCATTTAGGCAGTGCCGCGGACATTTACTTGCCACAAAGCTTTCTGAGAAATGAGAGGATGCCAGTGCCCAGCCGTGGGACGTATATAGGCTGTAACTTCATTAAGTTTAGTTTAGCAAAGAGCTTAGGTAGATGGAGAATTGATGAGATAAAGTTTAGGCAGCAACTTGACAGCTGATTTGCTGCACTTGCATTGTAGTTATAATAATGGTTTGAAGTGGACTCGATACGCGCGATTTTGACTAATTTTTTCGATGTGGTAGAGCCATGCTGCAGCTATATTATGGTTGTAGCACGAATGGGTCGGCTCGACCGGGGAAGGACCACGCTCTCACAGAATACCAGCGTAAAATAGCAGTTTAACGCTGCTGTGTTTCGTATGGTGAGTGTAGACAACGCATCTGCATCTTGAGTCTTTATTGAGGATAGATGTTGATGTCTATGGGTCACAGCAACCACTTACCATCAGGTGGACTGTGTGCTCGTTTGTCACCCGATCCTATAAAAAAAAATATCTGCATAATATGGGAACTCCATAAAAACATTTGATTAGGTTTTGGAGCCTGTTGTGAAGAAATATTTTTCAAAATAAATTTCATTTATTACAGCCATCGATCACTAATAAAAAACTAGGTACACAATCAGTGACAAAAAATGTCCTTAACGAATGTGTGCCCACTCGAACATTCGGGTGCGCTTTTAACTTGTACGTTGCTTTGTAAATACAACTTTAGGCAATGCTTTTAAGTTTTAATTTACATTAATGTATATTTATTTCAACTAGAATTACGTCACAACAATTGGCGACAGTTTTTAGAGAACTTTTGCATGGGATTGTGTATCTAGTTTTTTATTAGTGATCGATGATTACAACCTATCAAAAGTCTTCCAGAATATAGACCTCTCTATAGATTGCGTCATACTGCACTGTTATTTAGCGGCAGGAAAAGCTAACTGTCCTACCTATAAATCTAATATATAAAATAATAGAAAAGCCGGCAGCAGCCGCTTCCTAAAAATAACTCAAAATATAATTTAAAATTAAAAATTTTGTACAACCGACTTCAATATACATTATTAAGAATAACTCAAAAACTATTGGTCAGACCTTGATCAAATTTATATGGTAGTACATAAGAAGCACCAGCTTTCAAATAAAAAAGAATCATTGAAATTGGTTCACCCAGAAACAATTTATGAGGTAACACCATGAAGCAAATACAAAGAGGAGACGTTGTAATTAAATTTCACTATGTAACAACGCGTGACAATTTGCGGGGCGAGTGGATGCAAAACCCGCCCACTTTACACTATCTACATCTACCGATAAATAGTAAAACTACTCGAATCTTTCCATATCGATGTTGCAATGTAGCTTAGCTACCTTGACGGTAGATGGTGGCATGTCCACAAAATGTTATAAACTATAAAAATAATATTTTGGCGATTAAAATTTCTTTGTCTGAATGCAAAACAAATGTCAGGACCTTCGTATGATTATTTTATCATTACTGAGCTCTACGTACCATTATATTTTTAGTTCACAGGACACAAAGTGCCGCCATCTAGTGTGGAATATATTTAATTATGTTTCAAAGCCGACGCAAAGAGATTTTTTTAGAACTATTTTAATAAATTAGATGTAAAGTGAAAATGCCGTGTAGTGGCGGTCAAGAATATCCACTACCCCATATCCTCCCGTGGGTGTCGTAAAAGGCGACAAAGGGAAACAGGCAGGAGATGGGCAGCAGCATCTTCTTGATAACAACAAACTAACAATAAAAAAAAAACTGCGGTTGCCAACCCGCTCGCCAAGCGTGGCAACTATGGCAGATACCCTATGAATGACAGTAACAAAGAAACGGCCCCCAGTCCCCGGCGGCCCCGCTATTCCTGGCTACGGTGGCGACCATGGTAACGGCGGGGCAGGGGGTGCTAAGAATCTCCGGTGGAGGTTCGGTTGCCACCTTAGACGACTCGACCTGGCAACGTACAACGCACGCACCCTGAGGACTGACGAGAAGATCGTGGAGCTGGAAGAAGAGATAGACAAGTTGCGCTGGCATATTATAGGATTATCTGAAGTCCGAAGAGAGGGGGAGGACACGGTAATCCTCGAATCCGGCAACTTGCTCTATCACCGGGAGGGCGACCATCTGTCCCAAGGAGGTGTCGGATTTATCGTCCACAAGTCTCTCGTTAACAACGTTGTAAAAATAGGGAGTGTGTCGACGAGGGTTGCGTACCTTATACTCAGAATCACCAAACGGTATTCGCTGAAGGTCATACAGGTTTACGCACCAACCTCGGCACACCCCGATGAGGAGGTGGAGGAAATGTATGAGGATATCTCTAGAGCCATGCATTCCTCCAAAACCCAATATACGGTGTTAATGGGAGACTTCAATGCAAAACTAGGCACAAGAGAGAACGGTGAGCTGAAAGTAGGGAAATTTGGAATAGGGCAACGGAACCCAAGGGGCCAGCAGCTGGCCGACTTCATGTAGAAAGAGGGACTCTTTATGATGAACTCTTTCTTCCAGAAGCGGCCCCACAGGAAGTGGACCTGGTCGAGCCCCGACGGTTCCACAAAAAATGAGATTGACTTCATTATGACGACCAGACGACAACTGTTCAGTGATGTCTCCGTGATCGCGAGGGTGAAAACTGGTAGCGATCACCGAATGGTTAGAGGCACACTGAACCTAAACGTTAAGTTGGAGAGGTCTCGTCTAATGAAGTCAACACTCCGTCCCCCTCGTGCTCTGTTTCAAAGTCCCGAAACCTTTCAGCTCGAGTTACAAAACCGTTTTCAGTGCCTAGAAGACTGCAATGAAGTGGACGATATGAATGACAAGCTCGTGGAAACTGTCCATGCGGTTGGAGCTAAGTTCTGCAAGACCCGCCGCAGAAGAACACAAAAACTCTCCGATCACACTCTTAATCTCATGGCTGTTAGACGGGAGATGAAGCTACATTCTTCAACAGACTTGACAGCATACAGGCATCTGAACAGACAGATCTCCAAATGCATGCGGCGGGACTTACGCAACTTCAATACAGCTCGTATTGAAGAAGCGATCGAGCGGAACCAAGGCTCCAAAGTCTTTGCCAGAGATCTGTCTGCCAGAAAGAGCCAACTGTCAAAGCTGAAGACAGAATGTGGCAGCATCGTTTCCGGGACACCTGAGATTTTGAGTGAGATTGAGAGGTTCTATGGGCAGCTGTACACATCATCGTTGGAACCACACGCAAGTGTGAGTAACGATCCAAGAGCGAGTCTCATCCGACACTATTCCGAAGATATCCCGGATGTCAGTCTGAGCGAGATTAGGATGGCTCTCCAGCACCTTAAAAACGGTAAGGCCCCAGGCGAGGATGGAATTACAGCGGAGCTTCTGAAAGCGGGTGGAAGACCGGTACTCGAAGTCCTTCAGAAGCTCTTTAATTCCGTCCTCCATGGTGGCATTACACCGGAGGCGTGGAGCAGAAGTGCGGTGGTCTTGTTCTTCAAGAAAGGTGACAACGCTCTCTTGAAGAACTACAGACCGATTTCCCTTCTGAGCCGCGTCTACGTGCTGTTTTCGAGAGTCATTACGAATCGTCTCGCGCGCAGACTTGACGACTTCCAGCCTCCCGAACAAGCCGGTTTCCGAAAGGGCTTTAGCACCATAGACCACATACATACCCTTCGGCAAGTTGTACAGAAGTCCGAAGAGTACAATTTGCCACTATGTCTGGCGTATGTGGACTATGAGAAAGCCTTTGATTCCGTCGAAATTTGGGCGGTGCTGCAGTCCCTTCAGCGGTGCCAAGTTGACTGTCGGTATATCGAAGTGTTGAAGTGCTTGTACAGTAGGGCTACGATGGCTATCCGAGTACAGAACCAGAGTACGAAACCTATCCAATTGCAGAGAGGTGTAAGACAGGGTGACGTCATATCCCCGAAACTCTTCACCGCTGCATTGGAAGACGTTTTCAAGCTTCTGGACTGGAAAGGATACGGTATCAACATCAATGGCGAGTACATCACTCACCTTCGATTTGCCGACGATATAGTCCTTATGGCAGAATCGCTGGAGGACCTAAGCACTATGCTCAATGACCTCAATAGTGTTTCCCAACGGATAGGTCTTAAGATGAACATGGACAAAACTAAGATCATGTTTAATGTCCATGTCACACCTATGCCGATAGTTGTTGGGAACACTAAGCTCGAAGTTGTTGACGAGTATGTTTACCTGGGACAAATAGTCCGACTGGGTAAGTCCAACTTCGACCGAGAGGTCAATCGACGGATTCAACTCGGCTGGGCAGCGTTCGGGAAGCTACGACACATCTTCTCGTCAGACATACCTCAAAACCTTAAAACGAAATTGTACAACCAGTGCGTGTTGCCAGTGATGACTTACGGAACTGAGACGTGGTCCTTCACTGCTGGCCGTATGAGGAAGCTCAAGGTCGCTCAGCGAGCTATGGAGAGGGCTATGCTCGGAGTTTCTCTGCGTGATAAACTTAGGAATGAGGAAATCCGCAGTAGAACCAGAGTGACCGACATAGCCCAACGGATTAGTAAGCTGAAGTGGCAGTGGGCCGGCCATGTAGCTCGAAGAACCGACAACCGATGGGGAAGAAAGGTTCTCGAGTGGCAGCCTCGTACCGGTAGGCGAAGTGTAGGGCGTCCCCCCACGAGATGGAGTGACGACCTGGTAAGACATGCAGGAAGTCGATGGATGCAGGTGGCTCAGGACCGTGTTTTGTGGCATTCTTTGGGGGAGGCCTATGTTCAGCAGTGGACTTGTGAAGGGCTGTAATGATGATGAGATGTAAAATTACTTACAAATGAAATGTGATGCCATCCATAGCATCGGAGCGTCTATCTTATGAAGCAAATACATTCAGACAAAGAAATTTTAATAGCCAAAATAATATTTTTATAGTTTTCATAATATTTTTGGGAACAGGCCGCCATCTATCGTCAAGTAAACCTCATAAAAAATAACAAAAAGACAGGGCCGCAATTAGAATTCAATTATTTTACCCTGTAACCCAACATTCAATATTAAAATGAAGGAAATTGTACTTGGCTGATTTTTACGAAATGTTTAAGTTATATTTTAGTGACATTCTATATGCAAAGAATCACTTAAATACAATTTAAATATGTTTATCATTTCGTGAAAGTTAACCTTCAAGAAATATTTATTTTATCCATAAAATAAAGTCTCTTTGAAACTAAATATTCTATGTTCAATAGTAAGTAGGATATTTAATTTGGAACTAAATATCCTACTTATCTCACTAATATTATAAAGGCGAAATTTTGTGTTCTTTCTGTTTCCTTGAGCTTATTCCACACTAAATATGTGTCATTTTTCACGCAGAAACGGCTGGACTATTATTTATGTGTGGGTTATACTATTTGATATCTCTGAGGAAGAACAAATAATAGACAAATTATTATAATTAATATAATTTTATTTACAAATCAATTAAAATACAAATATTTTATTCCAAGTTAGGCATCCCCGAATGCACTTTTTGAATGCCAATCTAAGAACATTAAATTGTATTTAAGTCATTCTTTGCATATAGAATGTCACTTAAATATAACTTAAACATTTCGTAAAAATCAGCCTAAGTACAATTTCCTGCATTTTAATATTAAAAGTTGGATTACTGGGAAAAATAATTGAATTCTAATTAGGGCCCTGTCTTTTTGTCATTTTTATCAAGTTTACTTGACGAGAATACGGCCTGTTTTCAAAATGATTATAAACTATAAAAATAATATTTTGCGATTAAAATTTCTTTATGTCTGAATGCAAAACTAATTTCAGCACCTTCGTATGATTATTTTACCAATACTGAGCTCTACGGACCTTTATATTTTTAGTTCACATGATACAAAGTGTCGCCATCTAGTGTCGAATATATTTAATTATATTTGAAAGCCGACGCAGAGATTTTTCTAGAAATATTATAATAAATTAGGTGTAAAATTATTTACAAATGAAATGTGATGCCATCCATAGCATCAGAGCGTCTAACTGAGTAGTGTTTACACAATAAAACACAACACTTCATCCTTTTCTTCTTAATACTACGAAAATACAGCGATTTGCGATTTTTTCAACACATAAGCGCACAGGACGAATGCTGACAGTATACTAACTAAAGCCACGCCCACTATGATGATGTCAGGACCTACTTAGAATCACAGTGCACAGTTGCTTATGCCGTCTCCCCTTTGTATTAGCTTCATGGGTAACACACATAAAAAAAGAGCAAACAGTCGAATTGAGCACCGTCTCTTTTTTGATAAGTTGGTAGAAAAAGAAACTACAGATGCCAACCTGTTAAGCATGGTAACTTTTTTTTTAAAAGATAAGGGTGACAAACAAGCACACAGTCCACCTAATGGTAAGTGGTTGCTGTGGCCCATAGACATCTACATCTATCCTATATTACGAATCAAAATGCAGATGTGTTGTCACCCATGAGTAAACTTTTTGTACACTGTACATGCACGCTGTGACGTCATCGGACTCAGGTCTTATGTTATTATACACAAGTAGTACACATAATTATGCCCAAATACTCAACTTGTAGATCCCGTTTAGTCTCGTGCTAACTCATATCATTTTAAGTCAAAGTGACTGTGGCACCACGAGACTTAAGGACGTCTTAAAATTGAGTAGCGTTCGATTATTTGGCCATTAGTGTTCAGACTTACAATGAAAATTTCAATGAGATACATATTAAATTCTGTCTTTCCTTGGTCAGGTCTCTTCGGTTCATCCAACACTACTGGAGGGCTGTTCGGAAACACTACAGCGTCGACAGCGACCCCGGCCTTCGGATCTACGTCTGGGGGCTTCGGCTTCGGCGCCACCACCTCAACTGGAGGCCTGTTTGGCAGTAACCAATCAACTGGTCTATTTGGCAACACGCAGAACACTTCAGCTTTTGGAGCTAAGCCTGCAGGTGCCGTTTTTTATTATTATAACTAACAACCTGTTCACGCTGCGCCTGGGTAGAATCTACATATATATACAGGGATATTTTGCAAAAACCGGCCAAATTTGCAAAGAAGGTTCAGAATAACTAATGTTTTTTATACGTGGTAGAGTCATGCTGCAGCTATGTTAGTAGTATAGTTGTAGCACGAATGGGTCGGCACGACCGGGGAAGGACCACGCTCTCACAGAATTCCAGTGTAAAATGGCAGCTTGACACTGATGTGTTTCGTATGTTGAGTGTAGAGAACCGGATACCCATTTTACTGGAAAAAAGGCATTCCATCTTAGTCCTCACGGGCGACGACGTATCTGCATTTTGATTTTTTATTGAGGATAAATGTAGATGTCTATGGGTCACAGCAGCCACTAACCATCAGGTGGATGGTGTGCTCGTTTGTCACCCTATTCTATAAAAAAAGGCATAATATAGTGAAGAAAATATAATTAAATGAAATCTTAAACAATGTGTCTCTTTTATCTTTTAAATCCAAAATGTGTGGTAATGGATTATTTTAACTGATTTTACTGAACACGCACACATTGGTAAGGATCATACAGTAGGCAAAAACGTTATTGCCCATAAATCACATTCAATTTGGGATAATTTTAAATAAAAGTAGAAGCCTTATTTACTTGTATTTTCAAAAACTACAATAACGTTATATCATTATTTATATATTTAAACTTAAGTGTAAAATTTGGCTCCACTTTGAATAATAACCCTATATATATTATTGTGGCATTATGTTGATTTAAGACAATCATCAAAGACCATTTAGAGTATCTATTCTTCGATTTCTCAAAAACGAATTTTCATGTTTTGTACATACATTATAGCCGAGATTACTTCCGGCATTGCTCTGTATCTGTACTTGAAGTTTCACCACAATCAGTTGAGCCAATCCCGAAGATTAGCCTGGACAGACAAAATTTTAAAAAGAGTTCTTATTAAGTGGCGAAGCTTGCGAAGTCACTTATTGATTTCACGATGTCTGTCCGTCTGTCCGTCTGTCCCACGATTATCTCGAGAACGGTTTTGAATTTTCAAATTCTGTTTTCAGCAATCGATTACTGATCACCCAGGCATCTGAACCTCCTATTTTGAAACTGATTGCTCAACGGCAACCGTTAGAAACCGCTACAAAGCTGATCGCTTCGCCACTTTGCTATGCTGTTAGCTTGCTGGGTTTATTCATGTGTGAAATAGCAGGCAGTTTACCCCCTTAAGGTCAATAAAAAACAGCAATTTTGATATTACAGACAGACCCTTCAATTTTATTTATATTTATTGATATACCCTTTTCTTTCATCCACTTAAGATTTATTTTTATATAACTATTGCAACAGGAATAAAGTTGGTTAACAAACATATTTTTTTTTGATTAGGTTTTGGCTTCGGCAACACATCAACACCTGGAACGTCTGGGACTGGCCTGTTCGGTTCAACGCCTTCAACCAGCACTGGATTGTTTGGCCAACAGAACACAAGCATAGGTGGTGGGGGGCTATTCACTAATACTGGAGGTAAGCAAAGCTTTGAAACTTGGTAATGATCTTAAAATATTTAACTTTATAAACTTTGTTATTTATATGCTATGGCGACATGTTTCTGGCCGAAAATAAACACAAATATAATTATTTCAAGATTATTTATTTAGTTCGTGTTGCGATATACACTGCGAGCACTGCTCAGTGCTCTCACTGGTGAATAATTTGTTTCGTTTTGGACTGCCAGTATACTGCCGCAGTATCCTAGGTAAATATATGACGTCATAAATCGCCGCCATATTTGTACTGTGAGCATTGGCGCTTTCGAGGTAAGGTGCTCTCAGTACTTTAACCACGTGATCAAAAAACATAACAGTGTGTAGAGATTTAACAGGTTCCATGAAGGATTGTTATTGCTATTGATTAATATTGTTATCCAAATAAACTTGACCATTAAGTTTTAAAAACAACAACATTGAAATAATAATTTTTCTTATTGAACACAAAATGTGTACATGATAAATATTTTAATTTGAAAAGTGTCGAGAAATGGGGATCACAGTATACTAGACTGCGTTCCGTTTTGTCGGAATATAGCGAACTTGTTCAAGTCGCAGTTTAAGGTGGAACCGTGCAGGCTTGATTGTATGTTAAGTGATGGTGACGCTGGGGACAGTGTGAATATGGGGGGTAGCCCACTGCGCTTCACAATCGATGATGTTAAAACAGCAATAAATGATATAGAGCGTGGGAAATCACCAGGTCACGATGGCCTCAGCGTCGAACACCTTAGATATGCGGGTGTGCACCCTCACAGAGTCCTCAAGTTACTCTATAACCTATGTGTTGGTCATGGTTACTTAACCGAGTGGTCGTGCCTATCCTTAAAAATAGGACGGGCGATTCAGCAGATGAAACCAACTACAGGCCGATATCCTTGGCGATCATCTCGGCACAGCTAAGTAAGGCAGTTAAGTTACATGATGCTCAGTTCGGGTTTAGGCCTGAACTGTCAACGGAGAGCGCAATACTGTGTCTCAAGCAGACTGTGCGGTACTACACGGACAGGAAGACTCAGGTGTACGCGTGTTTCCTGGATTTGTCTAAAGCCTTCGACCGAGTGTCTTATAAAATCCTATGGCAAAAACTAAGACGGGAAAGTAGCTTGAGACCAGAGTTGGTTTCACTGTTGGAATATTCGTACGGTAACCAGACTAACACAGTTAGATGGGGTAAGGCTTTAAGTGATCCCTACAAACTAGAGTGCGGAGTGAGGCAGGGTGGGCAGGCTGTTTAATCTTTATGTTAACAGACTGATTGAGAGGCTCAGCAGAGCAGGTGTCGGTTGGTCAATAGACGGTGTATCCATGAATAATTTTAATTACGCTGACGACATGGTTCTGTTGAGCCCCTCAGTCAGCGTTCGAAAGCTGTTGAAAATTTGTGAAGCATATGCCGAGGAGACTGGACTCAGTTACAACTCAAAAAAGAGTGAATTTATTGTCTTCAGAGGTAAAAAAAAACCACTTGATTTCAAGCCACGTATCCAGCTATGTGGGATTCCTCTGAGACAAGTGGCTGAGTTTAGGTACCTCGGACATATTGTAACTGAACGCCTGGATGATGACAATGACATAGAACGAGAGCGCCGAGCGCTGTCGGTCTGGGGCAATATGTTGGCTCACAGATTTGCACGTAGTACGACTCAAGTCAAGTTAACTTTGTTTAAGGCGTATTGCCAATCCTTTTACATGTCCAGTCTGTGGACTGATTATACGCAGCGAGCCTACAGTGCTCTGCGTGTTCAGTACAACAATGTGCTGAGGGTGATGTTGAGGAGGGCTCGACACTGCAGTGCGTCGGCTATGTTTGCGGATGCTCGTGTGGACGACTTCTACGCGATCATGCGCAAGCGTGCCGCGTCCATTATGAGCAGGCTATTGAGGAGCTCCAACACCCTTCTCAGCACGTTGGCTGTGAAGCTGGATAGCCCGCTCTGGAGTGCTTGGAATGGTACACACACCAGCACCAGGAGAATCCCACCTGGAGTGCGCTATGTGAGGCTGGGGGTAGGTTAAATTACTAATATAGGATAAGTACAATTGTGACTAACATTTTTACATTAACTTCTATTTTATTTTATACTAACATTAGGCTAAGTAAGTTTTACTAACAATCTATGACTATTGTTGGTCGAAATAAAGGATTTATTGTATATTGTATTGTATTAAACAGTAACCAGCATAGCAAACTAAAAAAGAACCGCTTCACAGTATATTGAATTGACGTCACACTGTACGGTGGTCTGTGTATATCGGAACACACCCTTAAAGGAATTATAGTGAGTAGTTTTTTGTGCTGGCCAGTATATTATACACAGCAATAATAAAGTTTATCAAGTACGATAAATAACCATGGAAGTATGTACATTAACAATTAAGTACAAATATTACATAATCTGACATTTTAAAATTTATCTCTAGAATTGACATTATAATTTCGACATTAATTAATTTGTTTTTAATGTACACAATTGAATACCTGTTGTATTAAAAAAAAACATGTGTGTCGTGGAACACTCGGTTGGAACGAAGTTTCTTTCGTAGTATATTATTATTGATAAATATAAATAAATGAATAAATACAAATAAATGAATTGTTAGCGTCTATTTAAATAATATTTCTTTCGTGGCAAGATAAAAAGTCTGAGGGAGATGGATATTATTCCATCGCGCTATACAGCGGACTATAGAAAGGGGGTCGTGACGGAAAATTCTTACACTTTTTCTCGGCTAGCCCCTATTCGTCAAATTCGTACCGTACGATAAGGAACTTCTTTCCAAAATTGCATGTATACATATAAAGTATTTGCACACCATATTATGTAGTTGTAGAATGTAAATGCGCCATTACATGTAATTTAAGACCATACTTTGTTTGGCACATAAATGAATTTGAATAAAACTTATGCAAAATAATTATAGGTGCCTTTGGACAACAGCCTGCACCGACTGGTACGGGCCATATCAAGTACAATCCCGTCGTTGGCACAGATGTTGTGGTCAAGTCTGGTTCATCGCAGAATGTCAACATCAAACACCATTGCATCACATGTATGAAGGTCAGTAAAGCTGCTACCTTTCTTAATATTTCTTTTTATAAGACAAGGGTGACAAACGAGCACACAGTCCACCTGATGGTAAGTAGTTGCTGTGCCCCATACATATCTACATCCATCCTCTACTACGAATCAAAACGCACCCATGAGTACTAGATCGCCTGATTTCTAGTAACCTTTCTTAATATGAAAAGTTTTTCGTAGTAGTAAGGATAAAAAACGTGTACAGTCCTCCTAATGATACCTACAACTAAACCCGATTAAGTAGACTGGTATACGTGGAAGAGCCACGATGCAGCTCAACTTAGCTAGTTGCGGCACGGATGGGTTGGCTCGACCGGTGAAGGACAACACTCTCACAGAATAGCAGCTCAATGTTGCTGTGTTTTGTATGGTGAGTGTAGAAAGCTAGGCTGTATCTCGCGATCTCGAAATTTACACAGAATATGTATTTCTGTTGTTGCTATAACAACAAATAATAAAAATAAATTAAAAATTAAAAGGGGTTTTTTTCTGTAAACGAGACATTCCATCTCAGTCCTCAGGAGTGACAACAATTCTGCATTTTCATTCTTAATTGAGGATATATGTAAATGTCTATGGGCCACGGCATCCATCTACCATCAGGTGGACTGTGAGCTCATTTAACACCCTGATTCTATAAAAACTTGTCATCTCTGACGGAGAAGTTAGAATACCAGTACTGCTTGCACAGAATATCAGCATAATGTTGCTGTGCGTCATATGGTGAGGGGGACCGGAGACCCCTTTTATTGGTAACAATACATTCTTTCTTTTTTTATCTTAAAATACGTTACAGGGTTAGACCCTTTTGTTTTATAAACCTTCGCTAGATATTTCCCCTATATCGTGAAGGCAGTTTATAAATACAAATTGCACAAGGACAATCATTCAGACCCAGAACAATTATTTGTAGGCCATACAAATACTTGTTCCGTGCGGGATTCGAACCCGCGGCCCCCAGCTCAACAACTCATTGCTAAATCACTGCGCCACGGAGCCGTCGAATTCTTTATTTCTATTTTAGTTCCCAAGAGACACATTTACATTTTTGAATTTTTATTTAGGCGTCTATCACAGCACTCGCTTGCTACTTGTATAAAAAAAAATTTGACCAATTATATTTCATTTTTAGGAGTATGAAGGCAAGTCCCTAGAAGAGCTCAGGCTGGAGGACTACACTGCTGGACGCAAGGGTTCCACTACAGGGGGCATGTTCACCGGCTTCCAGCAGCCCACCGAGAACAAACCACTGTTCGGAGGCACCAGTGAGTGTGAACTTCAGATAGTAATTTATTTTAGAACTTTTTCCTCGGAATAAATAAATGTATTACTTTGACATATGAAATTCAGACTTAGAAGAAAATTAATAACGGTCCAAGAATGGACCCTTGCGGAACACCCGTTTTTATCACTAAGGCTATGGAATTTATACCATTTATATGGACCTTCTAAATCCTATTTCCTGGTAAGAATACAACAAACAAAGGGTTTGCTTACTAACTCTTTCCTTGTCCCGTGCACTACATGTAGTTCATTGCTATTGCGTCTGAAAATCGGACAGTGAGTGTTAAATGCTCCTTATATTTTTTAAATGAGATAATAAGCAAATGTCTTCATCATACAGCCTTTGACAAGTTCACTGTTGAACATAGACCTCCAACGTGTGGTACTGAGCAACCTGCATCCATCTACTACTTGCGTATTTTATCAGGCTGCAACTCCATCTAGTGGGGGCTGCCATATACTTCCGCTGGAAAGGCGGCTCCATGGCGCAGTAGTAATGACTTATGTATTTGTATGGTCTATAAATAATTGTACCGGATGAATTTGTATGGTCTACAAATAAGTGTTCCGGGTCTGAATGTTTGTCCTAGTGCAATTTATGTATGTAAACACGATACAGGAGAAAATACTAGTGTAGGTAAATTATTTTTAGGGTTCCGTAACCAAAGGGTAACCAATGGGATCCTATTACTAAGCCTCCGCTGTCCGTCCGTCTGTCTGTCAGCGAGCTGTATCTAATGATCCGTAATAGGTAGATAGTTGAAATTTTCACAGAATGTGTATTTCTGTTGCCACTATAACAATAAATAATAAAAATTAATTAAAAATCCCCCTACTAGAAACGTGCTTATTTTTTTTTTTGCTCGATCTTAATAACGGCAACAAGTAGACGCTTTGAAATGCTCACAGAGTTTGTATTTGCTATATTCGCTACAAAAAATTATAATAAAATAAAATTATATATGTAATATATATATATATATATATATATATATATATATATATATATAAATGTATGTGTGTATATGTATTATAAGTGGTATTTAGTTATATGTATGTATATATTATAAAGTTTTATTATCAGAGTGCACACTAGATCAGCTTCTCTTTTAATTTGTCCAGTATCAGGCCTGCTGGAAGAAATTTCAATATGAAATAAGCAGTGCCTTTGTACAAAATATCTTTTTTTTCTCTTCCTTGTAACATTATTTTGTGTGTACATAAATTGTTAAATAAATAAATAAACATTTAAAAAGTACCTACATAGTATTAAATCTTGTACAAATGGTACGGAACCCTTCATGCGCGAGTCTAACTCGTAACATATAGAACACATAGGACAATTTACTCTAAACACAATTTGCATTTATCACTCCACATCAAACCATTATTTAAATTTTATACCAGGAGCTAACACTAAAAATATTTTTATTTGCAGGTTTCGCTCAACCCGCCACAACTAGTGCACCGTTGTTTGGTGGCGGCGGTCTCGGCACCTCGGGCTTCGGACAGACAAGTTAGTATATTTTTTTATAGAATAAGGGTGTTAAACGAACGAGTACACAGTCCACACCCGATGGTAAGTGGATGCTGTGGTGACTGACATCTACATTTATCCTCAATTACGAAACAAAATTCAGATCCGTTGTCATCCGTAAGGACTAAGATAGAATGCCTCGTTTACATACATACATACATACATACATATAATCACGCCTCTTTCCCACAGGGGTAGGCAGAGACCAGTTTTTTCCACTTGCTACAATCCTTTGCATACTTGTTTTGCTTCGTCCACTTTCCTTATTCCCTTCATACATGCTCTACGGTTTAGGGTACTCTTGACCTGGCCTTTTTTCAAGACGTCCCTAATTTAGTCTAGAAATGTCCGCCTAGGTCTACCCCTTCCAACACTTTCATTCACACTCGCCTTATACACTTTTTTCGTCAATCGCTCTTCGTTCAATCTCTCGACATGGCCAAACCATCTCAGCATACCTTTCTCAATTTTTGTCACTACATCTTCTTTCAGACCACAACGTTTCCTTATCTCACTATTTCTTATCCTGTCACTCAGTTTAACTCCTATCATACTTCTTAATGCTCTCATCTCAACTGCATTTATTCTGCTTTCATGTTTCTTCTGCCATACCCAAGTTTCACTTCCGTACATGAGTGTCGGAACCAACACTCCCTCATGCACAGCCAAACGAGCCTTGTTAGACACCTTCCGACTGCTCATAAAGGAGTGCAAAGCTCCATTCACCATGTTTCCTGCATTCACTCTTCTTTCGATGTCACTGCCTCATCTTTTTCAAACACCATCACTTTCGTTTTCCTTACATTCATCTTCATTCCCTTTCTAAGAAAATCTCCACTCATAGCAGTTACCATTTCCTGCAACTCCTCGGCCGAAGACGGAAGTAATACTTGGTCATCAGCATAGAGAAAACATTTGACGAGTAACTCATTCATTCTCAACCCACTTTCTTTCTCTTTTAAATCTGTCAAACAATTGTCCACGAACAGATTAAACAGCCACGGTGACGCTACACATCCCTGTCTAACACCTTTTTCGATATAAAACCATTCAGTGTATGCCCCGTTTATCCTTACACAAGCACTAGAATCCCTATAAAGAGATTGCAATGCTCGTATGAGGATACTGCTCACACCGTTCACGGACAGTGCTGACCACAATTCATTCCTCACCACTCTATCATAGGCCTTTTCTAGATCTACGAACGCGCAGTAGACTTTCTTGTTTTAAGCCAAATACTTTTCGGCTATGCACCGCAAAGAAAAGAGTTGATCCGTACATCCCATTCCCTTTCTAAATCCCGCTTGTGCATCCCATACTTTCTCGTCTGTTTCAATCACAACCCTTTCAATCAACACTTTCGCATACAATTTACCGACGACGCTGAGAAGGCTTATACCGCGGTAATTTATGCAGTCCTGCCGTGACCCTTTTCCCTTATACAATGGCACGATTACGGCTTTGCACCAGTCTCCCGGTACTTGCCCATTTCGCCAGCACAGATTGAAAAGGCGGTACAGCTGACTAGCCACCAGGCCCTGTCCAATGCCAATGCCTCGTTTCCAGTAAAAAAAAAGAGTGCGGTTCTCTACACTCACCGTACGAACACACCAGTGTTAAGTTGTTATTTTACACTGATATTCTGTGCGCGTGCTCCTTCCCCAGTCCATTCGTGCTGCAACCATAACTGCAGCGTGGCCCTACCACATATAAAACTTGACTCCAATTCCACCTAATGGTAAGGGGCGATGCAGTCAAAGATGGTAAAGCCCACTCACTTAACTTCCGTCATCTATTACAGCCTATAAAAGTCCATTGGTGAACATAGGTCTGAGATTGCTTCATAAGAGGGATATTTGCCATAGTTGTAATGTCACTGTTGATTTAATAGTTTCATCTCTCAGTGGGTCATGTGCTCCTGGTAGATTATCTTCTATACATCCATCCATTACAGCCTATATTAGTCCACTGTTGAACATATGAGTTATTAATAATTTCACCTCTCAGTGGGTCATGTGCTCCTGGTAGATTATCTTCTATACATCCATCCATTACAGCCTATATTAGTCCACTGTTGAACATATGAGTTATTAATAATTTCACCTCTCAGTGGGTCATGTGCTCCTGGTAGGTTATCTTCTATACATCCATCCATTACAGCCTATATTAGTCCACTGTTGAACATATGAGTTATTAATAATTTCACCTCTCAGTGGGTCATGTGCTCCTGGTAGGTTATCTTCTATACATCCATCCATTACAGCCTATATTAGTCCACTGTTGAACATATGAGTTATTAATAATTTCACCTCTCAGTGGGTCATGTGCTCCTGGTAGGTTATCTTCTATACATCCATCCATTACAGCCTATTAAAGTCCACTGTTGAACATATGAGTTATTAATAATTTCACCTCTCAGTGGGTCATGTGCTCCTGGTAGATTATCTTCTACGAGGACGGCACTGAAAATTTCGGGAATCAAGGAAGTGACACAATATTACTATTTAAAAATGTATTTATTGCTTTTCGAAGTATTCTCCGCGAAATTTGACACATTTTCCATACGATGGAACCAATCATTGAAGCAACAATTCCATTCGGAAGTTGAGGTCTCCAAAATGGCCGTTTTGTAGGCGTCCACAGCTTCTTCAGGTGATGAAAATCTCTGTCCACGCAATTTATTCTTTATTTTAGGGAAAGTATAGAAATCATTAGGGTCGAGGCTGTACGGCGGATGGTCTAATAATTCTATGTTTTCTTGCTTTAAAAACTCTTTTGTTCTGTGTGCGGTGTGAAAACTCGCATTGTCGTGATGGAGGATGATGCGGCGGTTGCAGTTCTCTTTACGGAGTTCAGAAACGACCTGTGGCAAACAAATGCTAGCATACTGCATTAACCGTTCTTTGTCCCTCAAGAGGAATAGTCGTAACATGGCCGGTTTTGGAGACAAACGTGGCCACCATTTTTTTTGCAACACTCCGTGAACGAACAATTTTTGTTGGCTTTAACTCATTTTCGAACACCCAAACTCGTGACTGGTTTTTTGTTTCGGGTTCGTACGCATATATCCAGGATTCGTCACCTGATACGATGTTGTATACAGCATTTGAGGATCCTGCGTGGAATCTTTCGAGAGTTCTGACGCACCAAGTAACGCGAGCCGTTTTTTGCTCTTCACAGAGCGAATGCGGTATCCATCGAGAAAACAACTTTTTTACACCTAATTGTTCATGCAAGATTATTTGTATTTGATTCATGTCAATGTCTAAAGTTGCCTGAATTTCGCGGTATGTCACATGTCGATCTTCCTCAATCGGCTTACGCACAGCATCAACGTTTTCTTGGGTGACTGCAGTTTTTGGACGACCTTGACAGGGATCATCACTGAGCTTGACACGTCCACGTTGAAATTCAGCAAACCAGCGATAAATTGTGGTTTTGGATGGGGCTTCATCACCAAATGCAGAAATGATCCGGTCAACACACTGTTTTTGTGTTAAACCACTTCGAAAATCATAATAAATCATCACTCTTGAATTTTCTCGAGTCAATTCCATTTTCTCAACGACTAAACAAGTTTGACAAAACCTTGTGTCAAGACCGAGAATTCTTTTTTTAAATAAATAAATGGTATTCAATTTTAAAAAAACCAAGGACTTTTCAATTAAAAAGATTTTAATATGACAGGAACAGTGAAAATATTCCATTCCCGATACTTTTAGTGCAGCCTATGTATACATTCCATTCCATTACAGCCTATTAAAGTCCACTGCTGAACATAGGCCTCCCCCATATATTGCTTAATAAGGTCATAGTTGCCATATATGGCAGGCGGGTTGGCAAGTTGGTTATCAAGAAAACGCTGTTGCCCGTTTTCCGTTTTAGCTTCCCCATGTCGTCTCACACAGATATGGGGTAGTGGATAGTCTTACACCGCCACTACACAGTTCCTGACTTAGCCTAACAAAAGCTTTATTCAATGTGTAGTGTTCGCGTAAATATAAGAAATCATTATGTCAACGAAAGCTTATTCACTCTAGCATTGAAGACCAATATATATATGTCGTAACTAGCGGGAATACGTCAAGAAAGGTTAATTGTTAAAAATAGTAAAAGTGTGAGAGCGGATGTTCAACTTGTTCTCTTGATCACGCAATTAATCATTAGCGGCAATAAAACAGCGTAACTGCACTATACGTTCAGTATAGGCAGACATTTCCACCATACCGTATTATGACCTCGTCACAGTTACTCACTGGTGTAACGTGAAGGACATAATTACACGATAACACCAAAGTATGCGAACCAACAGGCAACACTACACACTTTACACTGCATGAACTGTAGGTGCGGGGGGGGGGGGGGGGGGGTTATATCCTCAATTCCAATTCCATTGATATGACGCCCCGTTAGAGTGACGCTACCTCTCGCTTACTCTCGATCCGACCGGTATTTTAGACGCGTCTACAAATAAATAAACTATTATCTTGTTTACAGACACGTTCTCATTTGGCGGCAACACTCAAAACCAAACAACGTCTACAGGCCTGTTTGGTAACAAGCCTGCCTTTGGAGCGACAAGCACTACTGGTGAGTTTGTACAAATTAAACAAAACCTGCCTTTGGAGCGACAAGCACTACTGGTGAGTTTGTACAAATTAAACAAAACCTGCCTTTGGGGCGACAAGCACTACTGGTGAGTTTGTACAAATTAAACACAGCCTGCCTTTGGAGCGACAAGCACTACTGGTGAGTTTGTACAAATTAAACACAGCCTGCCTTTGGAGCGACAAGCACTACTGGTGAGTTTGTACAAATTAAACACAGCCTGCCTTTGGAGCGACAAGCACTACTGGTGAGTTTGTACAAATTAAACAAAACCTGCCTTTGGAGCGACAAGCACTACTGGTGAGTTTGTACAAATTAAACAAAACCTGCCTTTGGGGCGACAAGCACTACTGGTGAGTTTGTACAAATTAAACACAGCCTGCCTTTGGAGCGACAAGCACTACTGGTGAGTTTGTACAAATTAAACACAGCCTGCCTTTGGAGCGACAAGCACTACTGGTGAGTTTGTACAAATTAAACACAGCCTGCCTTTGGAGCGACAAGCACTACTGGTGAGTTTGTACAAATTAAACACAGCCTGCCTTTCGAGCGACAAGCACTACTGGTGAGTTTGTACAAATTAAACACAGCCTGCCTTTGGAGCGACAAGCACTACTGGTGAGTTTGTACAAATTAAACACAGCCTGCCTTTGGAGCGACAAGCACTACTGGTGAGTTTGTACAAATTAAACACAGCCTGCCTTTGGAGCGACAAGCACTACTGGTGAGTTTGTACAAATTAAACACAGCCTGCCTTTGGAGCGACAAGCACTACTGGTGAGTTTGTACAAATTAAACACAGCCTGCCTTTGGAGCGACAAGCACTACTGGTGAGTTTGTACAAATTAAACAAAACCTGCCTTTGGAACGACAAGCACTACTGGTGAGTTTGTACAAATTAAACACAGCCTGCATTTGGAGCGACAAGCACTACTGGTGAGTTTGTACAAATTAAACAAAACCTGCCTTTGGAACGACAAGCACTACTGGTGAGTTTGTACAAATTAAACACAGCCTGCATTTGGAGCGACAAGCACTACTGGTGAGTTTGTACAAATTAAACAAAACCTGCCTTTGGAACGACAAGCACTACTGGTGAGTTTGTACAAATTAAACACAGCCTGCATTTGGAGCGACAAGCACTACTGGTGAGTTTGTACAAATTAAACAAAACCTGCCTTTGGAACGACAAGCACTACTGGTGAGTTTGCACAAATTAAACACAGCCTGCATTTGGAGCGACAAGCACTACTGGTGAGTTTGTACAAATTAAACAAAACCTGCCTTTGGAACGACAAGCACTACTGGTGAGTTTGTACAAATTAAACACAGCCTGCATTTGGAGCGACAAGCACTACTGGTGAGTTTGTACAAATGAAACAAAGATTGACAGAATAACAGTGCTACAGGGACGTTGCTGTAGCTTATGCTGAGTCGGTGAACGTTTTGTTGTGGCAACCTAATGTTAATTATTATAATTAATAGAATCGAGGCTTATTTCGCGGAAATAAATGTTGAAAATCAGTTTGCTAAGCTCTACGTAATAGAACAAAATGATGTGTCTTACCTAGCTTGAAGAGCACCTTCTACCCTCCCACAATTGCGAGCACTATCCCCGTCACCACTAATCCCAGCACCACTACACTCTGCTGCGGCTGATCACTAAGCGGAAACACTTGTCGTATTGTCTTCATTGGTGTGTCTTTCCTAGTGTAGTGGTGTTGGGAGTAGTGGTGACGGGGAAGGTGCACGCAATTGATGGAGGCCAGGAGGTGCTTTTCAAACTATAGTAAAATTATTTTGTGCGTGCAGTTGGGGTCATAAATTATAGCTCGGCCTCAGCCCAGCTAGGGAAATTCAATGGGAACTTTGTCTTTGTATGGTTATTTAAGTAGAAAACTTTTACTTAAAAATAAAAAACAATAACATACATTTAAGCAAACAAATTCAATGGGAGCGTTGGCTTTGCATGGTTTTAGAAAGTTTGTATAAATTTGGCTTATAAGTTATTGTTTTAAGTTTCAAATACGACTCAAATTTTTCATTTGTTAGTTGGCTTCTTACTTTAGTTTTAATTATATTCATGCAAGACAACGCTTGCCGGCACGAATATGTCGATCCGAAGATAGTCAGCACTTCAAACGCCAACTTCTTCACCTCACTGTAGCAATCTGGGAGACTATTCCATGCGTCGAATATAAGTGCCTCATTTCGCGGCATTTCTTTTAAAGCTGTTAATTTTTGTTGCGTTACGTACATACATTTCTGGACCTCCAACTCTTTCAACTTGCTTTTCAACTCTGTAAATTTTCAACTCCACAAAGCTTTACTTTTTAAATCGATCAATTGCATTTCTAGAGATCCAGTATCAACTCTAAATAGTTCAGTGTGGATCGATTTTTAAATGTTTTTTTCTAAAATAAATAATATTTGCGTATGAAACTAAATAGCCGCAGCTTCACATCCAAAGAGCCGCATGTGGCTCGCGAGCCGCAGGTTGCCGACCCCTGCCCTAAACGAAGGTTTATCGACCAAATTGGCGATATATTGAAGATAGGTCAGATTAAGAGTACCGTTAACCGACGAGCGTGTATGCGTATAGTATATAGATGTAAAAGAGGCGAGAGAGGTGTGGCAGGATCGTGCCAAATGGAAGTCCGTTGTCTCTGCCTACCCCTCTGGGTGACAGGCGTGAGTGTTTATGTATGTATGCTTAAATAGTTATGTTTGTGGGTACTTGCATAACAATTAATAAAAGAAGAAGAAAAAAACTGGTTTATTCTTCTTCTTTTTTAAAATTATGGCTTCCTTTGATAGAATTCTGCCAGTGTCAAGACAGTCATGGGAGTGACAAGTAAATATTTAGTACATGTCCGTTGGTTTTGCTACCTAGCACTTTTTTATAGGAGATGGAGCAAACGAGCATGCGGCTCACCTGATGGTAAGTGACTACCGCCGTCCATGAACAACTGCAACAATAGGGGAATTGCAGATGCGTTGCCGGCCTTTTAAAAAGGAGTACGCTCTTTTCTTGAAGGTACCCTAAGTCGTATCGGTCTGGAAAAATCGCTGGTGGTAATCGATTCCACAAGGAAGTCGTGCGACGAACAAAACTTCTTTTAAATCGCACAGTGGTGGACCGCCAATCATCCAGATGGTATGGATGGTATCGCGAGTTTTGTCGCGATGTGCGATGGTGAAATTGAGCGGCTGGAATCCGAACAATTCCTCAGAGCACTCCCCGTGGTAAATGCGATAAAATACGCAAAGAGATAACTTATATACCTATGATAAGCTTGACTACAACCTCAGCTAGTGTAACCAAAAGCCTATTCACTCTTGCCTTGTAGACATTCAGTCCCCCCCCCCCCCGTGACCATGGGTGCTATAAAGCACCCGAAACGTCAGGAATGAAAAAAAAGTTAATTAAACTTGATAAAATCCCTAAAAATAGTTTTATTTAACGTAGTATTCGGCGTTAATATATTAAAACATTAACAGGCACTGGTATCTTTGGAGCGGCAACCACACAGACCCCAACCTTCGGCACTACCACGCCAAGCTTTGGTGGGTTTGGAACCAACACGCAGAACCAAGTGAGTGTACTTTTTATTTTTAGAACATAAGAACAACAAAATAACAGTCCACATGATGGTAAGTAGCTGCTGCAGTCCATGAACACCTGCGGCCAAGTTCAAATAAAGAAGGATACAGGTGCTTGTCATCTCTCAGGAGTAGATGGAATGCCGCACTGTATGCGTTATCTAATCCAGCAACTTAACTCTATCTCTACCTTACCACTGTATATTGTCTAGATATACTACACAATATACAGACTAGTTCATCCCGTGGGTGTCGTAAGAGGCGTCAGAGGGAAACAAATCGGGAAATGGACAGTACCGTCTTCCTCATAACAAGTAGTAAAATAAAATACTGGTAGCGTGGTAGCTATGGCAAATATACCACCTTTGTTGCAATCTATGAGAGAGCAGTATGGTCAGCAGTGGACTTTTGATAGATTGTATTGTTAACTTTAACTTGGTACTACTAAAATTTTATAAATCCCCGAATCAAAACGAGCTGGTGATCTTCAAATGGCTAACATATTTTATTTTACATGGTTATTTTAAACTAGCTGTGCCCCGCGGTTTCACCCGCGTCATCACGTGTCCGAGGTGCGCGACATGACCTAGTTCAAGCATTCTATAACGGCTAGGGTTTAAGCGTCGTTCGCGCGCCCAGCCTAGTATTGAATTATTTTAATTTTACATTATCTCTTAAACTATGCGTCCAAATAACATGGTATAAAGAACAAAGTTTATCTTCATAAAATTGTCTTGATGATGAAGTAACTTTCGTTCATAAGGATAAATAGGCCATGCTCATAAATCACTTAAATTTTCAATATTTTTTGTCACAAAATACCAAATTATGGCTTATGTATAAGAAATAGACATATGGTATCGCAGACTTTTTTTTATACGGAGTAAAGGTCTATATTTTTCTAGAACATTGAATTTACGTATCCCTAACGATAACACCAGCGTACGCGGATAAATCATTTCGGGAGTGCTTTTTCTTCTGACTTGCTTAACAAATATCCCAATTTAAGACTAGCTGAGTAATATAGCTTAATGCTAGATAGCCTATACTATTCTACATGAATCTGGCTATAATATACAAAAATAATTTTTCAAATCGGACTGGTAGTTCCAGAGATTAGCGCGTTTAAACAAACAAAAAAAAATTAAAAAACTCTTCCGCTTTATTATATTAAGTATAGATGGAGCCATGTGCAACTATATTAATAGTATAGTTGTAGCACCAATGGGTCGGCTCGACCGGGGAAGGACCACGCTCTCACACAATACCAGCGTAAAATAGCAGCTTAACGCTGCTGTGTTTCGTGTGCTGAGTGTAGACACCCGGAGACCCTTTTTACTGGATAAGAGGCATTCCATCTTAGTCTTCACGAGTTACAACGCATCAGCATTTTGATTTTTAGTTGAGGATAAATGTAGACGGCTATGGGCCATAGCATTCACTTTCCATAAGGTGGACTTTGTGTTCGTATGTCACTCTCATTCTATAAAAAAAATTTATGATGACTTGATGACTGTTATATATGAGTTACTAAGTAAAGTTGTAAAATTGTTTATCCGAATGCGAATACATTACATAATTAGATTTAAAAATCGAAAACTGAAAACATCTATAAAAAGAAAGTGTCACGAAAATATTTGACAGTGCAACACTTGTAACTTGTTTATTGTAGTAATAAAAAAATATCTTGTACAATAAATGCTTTTAACTTATAAGATATTATAAGTTAAAAACATTTATTAATCATAACCATTGAGTTATAGGTACTATGTACTAGAGAAGCTATTCCAAACAAAAATTGTGCGCTACTCTGTGTCTTCGCGCATGCGCGGAGGATAGTAGAGTCGGGTATGCGCGAAGACTTTAATATAAAATAAGATATTAATATAAAATAAAATGTAATAATAATTATCTTATGGAATTCACAAATCTTCAATTTACACAATATTTAGTTCAGTGTACGGATTGCAGTACAGTTCAGTTGAACATAGTCAATGTTTGGAATGCGAAATCTAGTACGTTGTACATATTTATATATCGATGATCATAATGAATATTAAATTGTCCAAAATTATTTTATTTCGCATTTCGTGACAACCCCTAGCATACACGCTGCCCGCCTCAATAACTACGCGGGCGACGGCATCGCCTGACATCAAAGGCGTTTCACAAATGTAAGGTCTAAATTGAGATATAGGCAACTCTCATAACGATATCCCTCCCTATATGTTACGCTTATCGTAAACGAGATTGTTATATCTGTTGGTAGCCATGAGATTTTTCCGGCATTTGTCGTCTCTTATAAAACTCACGGGCGAAATGTGGTGATGGATATTCTTACGGTGCCCATCACACGAAATATATATACTATTTGTAGCAAAGCACTGGTCTATTCGGTGCGAAGCCGGCTACCACTGGCTTCGGAAGCACTCCGGCCAGCAGCAGCTTCGGCGGCTTCGGAACCGGGCTGTTCAACGCTAAACCGCAGCAAACCACTGCACCCACCTTCGGGTCCACTGCACCATCAGGTAAGTTCCAAAAAACTTGAAAAGCTTATGTTTCTTTGTTATAAAGACTCAATGGAGACTAGCCATTTGCGCGGGACAGGATTGTAGTAACTAAGTGTATGTGCAAGCTCAGGTGCACTCTATTGACTCATTCTCATAGTCCGATGGGACTGTAATATCTACACTTTTTACGTGGTGGAGCCATGCTGCAGCTATATTAGTAGTATAGTTCTAGCACGAATGGGTCGGCTCGACCGGGGAAGGACCACGCTCTCACAGAAAATCAGCGTAAAATAGCAGCTTAACGCTGCTGTGTTTCGTATGGTGAGTGTAGAGAACCGGAGACCCTTTTTACTGGAAAAGAGGCATTCCATATTAGTCCTCACGGGTGGCGACGTATCTACATTTTGATTCTTTATTGAGTACAAATGTAGATGTCTATGGGTCACAGCAACCACTTACCATCAGTTGGGCTGTGTCCTCGTTTGTCATCCCATCCTATAAAAAAACGACCACAGAGAGATCAGGGTCAGGACCAACGGCTTTACGTGCTTGCTGTACGTGGGTAAAACACCGTTAACTTCCTGACTCCGGACTGTAACTGAGAATTCCGACCCGGCATTCGAACCCAGGATCTTACAGTCGTCTGACATTCATCCGATTCGGATAAAACTAATAAGTTGATGTACGCAGGCCCGGGAAGGTTCCGACAAGAAAAGAAACAGCAAAGCATGTCTTGTGCAGATAGTATTTTATAAATTGTAATGTTTTTTATTTTAATTTTTAGCTTTCGGCTCCCTGTCTAGCGGCTTCGGCACTAACACGTCCAGCTCCGGCTTCTTCGGCAACACCTCGAAGCCCAACACCATGCCGATGCTGGGCGGCCAGACACAGAACACAGGCTTCGGTGTGTATATGCAGTTTATTGAGAAAATAATTGTTTGGATGCCCGTAGACTCGTAACCACCTTCTTAGCCAGGGGCAGATTTATACTTGACTAGCTATTCCCCGCGACTTCGTGTAATTTAGGGTTTTAATTATATTGCTCAGAACCCTAATTCTTTTTCTCAAAAGTAAGTAGCCTAAGTTACTCCTTAGAACATCAGCTATTTGCCAATGAAAGTCCCGTCGAAATTGGTCCAGCCGTTTCCGAGATTAGCCGGAACAAACAAACAGACAGACAACAAAAATTTTAATAATTGTGTCTTTGTTATAAGTACCGTATATACATGCATTCATATGCATTTAGTAAAAAGCTGTTGACACTTCAATTTTATTTATTTGTATAGATTAATGTAGATGTCTATCGGTCACAGCAACCACTTACCATCAGGTGGACTGTATGCTCGTTTGTCACCCTGATTCTATAAAAAAAAAACATCTGGTGACGGGACCATCTAACTATCATTGATATAGATTATGAAAAGCCATGGTAGCTTACAGAGCTGTCAACTTCACAGTACGCGAGCATACCGGGTTCGATTACCGCCGGCAACAATGAAATTTTTGATTGCAATTTTAAGTGCTGATTTACCACGTGCCCGGCGGTGAAGAAAACATCGTAAGGAAAGCTGCTTTTCTGAGAAATTAAAAGAATATTTCACCCACGTCCACCACCATGCATTGGGGCAGCGCGGTGGACATATCCTTGCCCTAAAATCCTCTCGGAGATAGATATTCCTAGATGTAGGACGTTAAATTGCGACTTTACTTTTTTATAGATTTTTTTTATAGGATAGGGTGACAAACGAGCACACAGTCCACCTGATGGTAGGTGATGTGAAGGTGGTGATGAGGTGAAGGTGGTTGCTGTGGCCCATAAACATCTACGTCTATCCTCAATAAAGAATCAAAATACAGATGCGTTGTCACCTGTGAGAACTAAGATGGAACGCCTCTTTTCCGGTAAAAATGGTCTCCGGTTCTCTACACTCACCATAGGAAACACAGCAGCATTAAGCCGCCATTTTACGCTGGTATTCTGTGAGAGCGTGGCCCTTCACCGGTCGAGCCGAGCCATTCGTTCTACAACTATACTAATAATATAGCGCAGCGTGGCTCTACCACGTAAAATCTGTCTTTCCATCCGATTACAGTGTGTGTGTCTTCAAGGCAAGAGTGGCTTAGGCTTTTGTTAAGCCAGTGCGCTTCACCATCTTAGGCTACATCACCACTTACCATCAGGTGGGATCGTAGTTAAGCGCTGGCTTAGTAGAATATAAAGAAAATCTTTTTATGTTTACGCGAATACTACACATCGAATAACAGTAACTTTACGGATTTTATCGCGTTTATCAACTTCCCAATTCCAATATAAACCCAGGCGTGCCACTGCAAACCTTCAACATACCGTAAGCTCGTTCTGTAGGTCGGACCATAAATAATAATCGAAAGTTGCAGGTAACCTTCATAGGTGCTGCAAAGTTCTTGATACTTTGGGAGTTAAAAACGTTTTAATTTGAATTGAAAAGTTTAAATACCCCCGAACCAAAAAGCGTATGATCTTCAAGTGGCTGAAATTTTTTTCTTGAATCATAGCTACATAGAACAAAAACAAAACTAAATTTAAATCAGTTCATCTGTTTACGAATAATGCTACAGACAGATACACTTATACACACGTTAACATACATATAACACCTGTACGGATAAAGAATGGGATTAGGAATGGCGGCTTTTGGAGCCCGTACCGTCAACATGCACAATACCAATAGCGAAAACTCGTTAGTAACGGTAATCGTTTAAACATTATATTGTTCAGTTAAGTGGAAGTTTTCTATTAATGGAAAAATATTTGAAAAGAACGGTATACACAAAAGTAGGTACATACATTTTAAAAATAACATTTATAACTAGTGACCCGCTCTGTTTTCGCCAGGGTGGTATCTATTAATCTGGCACGTTGGACTGAAGTTATAGAACGTACGAAAAACGCATATCGCATAGTATTTTTTTTGCAGTCTGTACCGGCGTGTGTGAGTATACATAGCGCCAGTGCGCGTGTGAGAGGTGAATAGAGGTGACGCCATTTTCAATCCCATTCTTTAACCGCACGGGTAGTATATGTTAAAAGAATTAAAATCTATTTAGTTGAGATATATAAGAAGGAAGATAATCATAGAGAGAGGAGGATAGTTTGGAACAATTGAAAAAAAAATTATTCTGTTACTCTGGTGGTAGAAAAATTCATGGATGCCCGTATTCTAACACGTTCTCCCCTTGCACAGGCGCAGGTATAGGCACAGGACTGGGCACGTCGTTCCAGGCGAAGCCTGGCGCACCGGCCTTCGGCAGCCTGGGCTCCGGCTCCATCTTCCAGCAGCCGCAGAACAACAACACCTTCCGAACTGGTAAGAATATTTAATTGTGTGTGTAGTTTTATATTTTTTACCAAGGTTGTTGTATTATAATCTGCTTCTATTGTGAAATCTGGAAATCTAGTTTTTTTTTTTAATAGTCTCATACATTGATGCCCTGGCTCCTAAATTAGGTTACCCTGTATGATAGGGGGCAGTTTCCCTCCCATTAAGGCCCACATAAGGAATATTGTTTCGGGATCCCGAACTTGTCGGCCACACACATACGGAATCCTGTTTTGCCAGCCAAATTTCGAACGCAAAACTACCCGTACGAGTGTGACGGGTCATAGATTGTATATGGACTTGCTGCGTTCGGAATTCCGAATTGGAATATCTATAATATTGTAATTCCGTATGTATGCGGCGGGCTTTAGTTATCTTATTTTCCGTGTACAGTATAGACTCTAAACTATATATATTAATATTATTAGAATACACTTCACTGACTGTGTGCTCGTTTGTCACTCTTATTCCATAAAGAAAAGTTTGTTAAATATTTTTGCTGGAAGCCACGCTGCAGCTATATTATGTTTGTAGCAAGAATGGGTCGGCTCGGTTGAGGTAAGACCACGCTCTCACAGAATAACCAACGTAAAATAGCTGCGGTATGTATGGTAACTGTAGATAGCTGTAGAATCGTAGACTTTACTGGATACCATTCGATCGATTAGTGACTACTTACGTGGTAGAGCCATGCTGCAGCTATATTAGTAGTATAGTTGTAGCACGAATGGGTCGCCTCGACCGGGGAAGGACCACGCTTTCACAAAATATCAGCGTAAAATAGCAGCTTAACACTGCTGTGTTTCGTATGGTGAGTGTAGAGAACCGGAAATCCTTTTTACTGGAAAAGGGCCATTCCATATTAGTCCTCACGGGTGAGAATCCATCTGCATTTTGATTCTTAACCGAGGATAAATGTAGATGTCTATGGGCCACAGCATCTGCTTACCATCAGGTGGACTGTGTGTTCGTTTGGCATCGTTGTTCTATATATAAAATAATGAAAACGTGAATTTTTCTTTTTCCCAGGGCTGGATAGCGGGCTTGGTAACAGTATGTTCGGGACTACACCGTCGCTGGGCACTGGCTTGTCGTTGGGAGGATTCAACTCGAACAACTCGACGGCTCCCTCGTAAGTATATTATGAAAAAAAAAAGGCAACACTAGTATCTTTTTTATTTTTTTTATGATCCGATTGATTTGTTGAATTATTAATAGAATGTTTTTTTATTGTCATGTGAAAGTCCATCGATAGACAGAAGTTTATCTCATTGTAGGGGAATTTTATCATATAATTACATCTTTTAAGCCGGCATGCATTTTTGTGAATGTTGTAAGCCATATGGAACATTATTATAATAATTTAAAAAAAAAAATTGCTGTTGCCAACCAATCTGCTAACCATGACAACTGTGACAAATGACAAAGATCTCTTTTGTGACGAAATCATAAAAAAAAATCGTTAAAATTCAACATTTGACTTTTGAATAGATTTGTTGTAATTAATAAATGATGAATGCATGAAGCTAATATATAAATAAAAATGACTAAAGCCCGGAAGCCGGTTCAAATTATAAGTTGGTTTCGGCCTTTGATCCCAAACCAAAATTGATTTCGGTTAAAGGTTTTACTTTACCGGTTTTTAACGAATTTAGGTTTAGGTAGTAACAATTAACCGGTTAAAACCAAGTTTTATAAAGTCTCCGCCCTCTTCCTTACCTCACTTTCCGCATTGAGCCGATAGCTTTAGTAGATTGTTAACCAGCAACATTACATTAAAAAAAGTCTTGTTGGGTTTTGTGTTGGTTCGTCCCAAGTCAGTGTTATTTCCGAACTAGTGGTAAAGCTTAAATTACTTCCAATATGTGTTGTTGTAATGTATATAGAAATAAAAATGATTGTATTGTATAATTTTTTTTATAGGAGAGGGGGCAAACGAGCATGCGGCTCACCTGATGGTAAGTGACTACCGCCGCCCATGAACAACCGCAACATCAGGGGAATTGCAGAGGCGTTGCCGGCCTTTTAAAAAGGAGTAGGCTCTTTTCTTGAAGGTCCCTAAGTCGTATCGGTCCGGAAAAATCGTTGGTGGTAAACTATTCCACAAGGAAGTTGTGCGAGGAAGAAAACATCTTCTAAATCGCACAGTGGTGGACCGCCAATCATCCAAATGATGTGGATGGTATCGGGAGTTCTGCCGCGATGTGCGTTCGTGAAATTTGGCAGGTGGGATTAATCCGAACAATTCCTCAGAGCACTCCCCCTGGTAAATGCGAAAGAAAATGCAAAGAGATGCAACATCTCTTCGCAGCGCCAATGAGTCGAGCCGATCGGAAAGGACTCGGTCGCCGACGATTCGAGCCGCTCTGCGCTGGATGCAGTCAAGTTGAAGGAGCTGGCACTGGGGAGCCTCAGCCCAGAGATGGGAACAGTATTCCATGTGAGCCCGAACCTGCGCCTTGTAAAGTTGCAGGCGTTGAGCTGGCATGAAATACTGTCCCGCTCTGCTGAGCACGCCTAGCTTTTTAGAGGCCAATTTGGCCTTCTCTTCGAAACTGCACGTCACTCGATATGTCGACGCCGAGGATTGCGATACTGGCTGAGGCAACAAGGGGAGTACCTTGAAACTGAGGAGATACGACAAAGGGGTTCTTTTTAGCGGTAAACGTGCAAACTTGTGTCTTCTGAGGATTAAACTGGACTAGATTTAGTCGCCCCCAATCCGAGACTTTGTTAAGCAAAGACTCGACTTCAGACACAAGTTTGTTCCGGTACTCGGTGACGTTTTCCCGAGAAATATCGGCATGGCCGGTGTATAGAGCATCATCAGTGTTACGGCCTACGGCTGCTCCCACAAAGGTTCAATCCTCCGGGGCCCATCAGCGGAGTTTCAACGAACAGACGTAGGTCGGGCCTCAATATGGCCGCGTGGAATTTCCTATGACAATAAACTATATGGGAGAAAGCTAGAAACACATAGTACTTACCATTATCCGAAGCTAACTTCACACCAAGGCTTGGGCAGGCCGTGAGTGTGTGTAATAGTGGATGGCGAGTAGTGTACAGTGAGGTGTGAATGTGTGGGGCCTTGGCAAGCATAGGCGACCAGCAGCGGCCGAGTTCCAGGCTGCTCCAAAATGCTACATCGCTTCAGACTGCTTCGGCGCCGGACCACTTCTTTCTTCACTGTCACTGATTCAGTCTCATAGCTTCATTGTACATTTAACTAACTTCAATTCGCCTAATTCCACACTCATCGCAGAGTTGAACTCGTGATACCCGACACGGCAACGGCCAGTAGAACAAAATTCGACATTGAATGTTCCGGATTCACTTATCACAAATTATAAATTCGGCACCAGAATAACACGTCGCGCCAGAGTCAAAATACGCCTCGTTGACAAGCAAATTAATCTAACTAAGATGCACAATTACTTTCAAAGAATTTACTTAAACCGTAAAACCCCATAAAGGCCTCTGGTACGGGAATCTAAATCCTAGACCACCAAATCCGAGGCGGATTTCACGAAACACAATTACGTAGCGAAGCCGCGCCCAAACCCAAATTCTAGACCCTAATCACTCGAAACCGGTCTCGCGCAAACTTCCGCAGCGGTAGCCGAAACACTCGGCCTAACCAGGTCGCTGCTCCCAAGCTACTAACGTCACCTACTGTCTCGCCCGACGGCCAAGACGCTTGGAAGCTCCCTTCCGCTGCCCCCTCTCCGACACACGCGTGACACCTGGTACGATCGGGCGATTGGCAAAGTCGAACGTGATTGGGTAACGTCCTAACATAACCAAATTTGGGCCTAAACAACCAGTGCTGTCATCCGCATGCAATGAATGCTACCGACTTGTAACATACTCGTATCATTGATATGCAGAAGAAACAGCGTTGGTGATAGCACGCAGCCTTGTGGAACACCAGCGTTAATAGGCTTGTAGTCGGAGCATGCACTGTCTACAACGACCTTGATGCTCCGATCTGCAAGAAAGCTGGTGATCCAATTGCATAATTTCTCGGGAAGCCCATAGGAATGGAGCTTCGAAAGAACCGCTTTGTGCCAAACCCGATCGAAGGCCTTTGCAATGTCCAAACTAACGGCCAATGCCTCCCCCTTGGACTCTACTGCCTCCGCCCATCTATGAGTTAAGTAGACCAGAAGATCACCAGCTGATCGACCCCGACGAAAACCGTACTGGCGGTCACTAAACAGCTGGTGATCCTCAAGGTACCGCATGAGGTGGCAGTTTATAAGGGATTCCATTATTTTGGAGAATAAGGGGGTGATGGCGATAGGCCTGTAGTTGGACGGGTCTGAGCGGTCGCCTTTTTTAGGGATCGGGTGGACAAAAGCTGTCTTCCATGATTTCGGGACTACGTCTAGGGAGTAGGAGTACCGGAAAAGACGCGTTAGGACCGGTGCCAACTCCGGAGCACACGTCTTCAGCACAATTGGGGGGGTTCCGTCAGGCCCACTCGACTTGTGGATGTCCAGGGAGAGGAGTGCTCTGCGAACCGAGCGCTGTGAGAACAGCACATCCGGCATGGAGCACTCACACCGCGGGATGGTCGGCGGTGTGTTCCCTCGTCATCAAGAGTCGAGTTGGACGCAAAAAGGGGGCCTAAAAGGTCGGCTTTCTCTTTTGCGTCGTGGGCCAGTGAGTCGTCCTCCCTGTGCAGAGATGGTAGTGATGGCTTACAGAAATTCCCTTGGACAGCCTTGGCAGAATGCACGGGTTCCCGAAGGAAGGCGAACTAGTTTCTCGCCAATTCTGCCTATGTGCTCTTACTTTGCCTTGGCAATAACTCTTTTGAAGGACCTGGAGGCGAAGTTATACTTCTTTTTAAGTGTGCTGGTGTTTACATCCCGAGTCGCCGAAGCCGCAACCCAGGCTTGATAACACTCCTGCTTACTGCGTAATGCAGTCTTACAGGAGTGACCAAACCAAGGCTGAGATCTGCCTCCGATGGGTACCACAGATGATTTAATAAATAGTTCCATTCCCTGTAGCACCACATCAGTGACAGAGTCAGCAACAGCGCTGGGATCATCCGGCGAGAAGCAAACCCGCCCCCATGGGTAGGATGCAAAGAAAGACCGCATTCCGTTCCAATCCGCCGACCTGTAATGCCAAACACGGCGGCAACCTGCAGAACGCAACCGCGAGGTGAGTGTGAGTGGCACCACACTCCGGATCAGACAATAGTCCGAAGAGCTAAGAGGGGCATCGATGGAATTCTGATATCCGTCCGGATGAGAGGTCAGCAGAAGGTCCAACAGGGAAGGTGTATGATCCTCGACATCTGGAATCCGCGTTGGCGAAGTAACCAGTTGTGTCAGACCATATGCCAAGGCAAAGTCATAAACAGATCTCCCCGCATGATCGGTTAAACGCAGGGACTTAAAACGTTATAAATAACAGAATGTATAACGTTATAATAGTATCGTTACCTCGGCAAGCATAGCGTTTTCAATATTTAGTATAACGTTTTAAGAGTAACAGAACAAAATTGTGACAGGCAATTTAACGTTATTATAACGATAAAGACGCGACGTTGCCAAACCAATTCATTTTCAAAAGCGCGCGAATCCGCGCGAATTACGAGATGGGTAGGGCCTGGGATCCAATTGGTCTACTAGATAACTTGGACGGACGAGGAATTCCTCGCACCTTTATTATTCTTACTTTTTACTCTTACTATTGTTTCACAAAATATCACGTATACTTCAATCACGTCTTTTGATGGGTAAATTTAACCTCTTTTATCTTTAAGGATATAAATAAATATATTAACGATTTTACATCATTATGCTGAGAAGCTCAGATTGCCAAACTGCGATACAATCTCAACACTTAAGTTTGTTTAGCAAAACTCTTCCTCTCTATCCACATTTAATAATTTATTTATTTATTTATTTAAGCTTTATTTGCACACATACAAGAAATGTACAAAACGGCGGACTTAATGCTTAAAGGCATTCTCTACCAGTCTACCTTTGGTTTGTGCAGAGAATCTAGTGATGGGTGCAAAATTAATAATTAAAAAAAAATTAAAAAAATTAAAGGTTTAAGGAAAAAAAATACAAAATTATAATATAATGATAATAAATACAATACACATAC